ATCAGCAGGCCTCCAAGTGTGAAATACGCCTGAGTAGACTTGTAATGATACGATTACTTTCGTTGATGATACAAGACTTTTATGGTATGAATATAAAATATCCTCTATATCGTGCAAATAATACGAAGCTTAAACACTCAAACAGTTTTCACTATATATTCAAAGTTTTGAAGCATCACTTGGACTGGCGGGGGAGTGTAGAGAGAGCGTTACATGTTGCTCCAATATGCGGCTAAGTGAGGTTGGCAGAGTGTCTGATGATGCAGTTCAATAGCCTTTATCTATACAGGGACACTTGGGTGGCGAGAAGGGCTCACTTTAATCCCTGGAGTGTAGATATGCAGCCGCAGAGCTGAAAGTGTACACACATAAAGAAGGAGTTTAAATAGTGCTTCAGAGAGTCTAATCAGCAGTGACTGTCAAACTGCAGGATCTTGCTGATGGACGCTGACTTTGTAATGTCTAGACCCCAGAAAATCACAGCTTTGATGTCTGGTACATGGATTATGAACACGGGCTCCCCACAGCGTAGCACATTATGTAAATTCAATAGTTATGTGAAAATATACAGATGACCCAGCGGTGGTCTATGATGAGTCATTTTGTTTTATTAAATGGATAATTGTGTGTAATTCTTTGGCATTTAGATATCAGAAGCACCCTTAAAATGAACTATTCAGTGGAGAAACTACTATGGAGGAGTTTAAGAAATTTTAATGAACTTTAATCTGATTCATTGTCATGTGAATCAGGATGCTTCATGTGAACCATGAAGTTTATGGTTCAAGAGAATAAAACCGAGGAAAGTGAAATACATTTTCAGCGACACAGTAATAAAAACTTGTCACTGTAAATAGAAAATATCTTTTGTTGTCTGTGTGTGTGTGTAGATGGTAAATGGGCTGCACTTATAAAGCACTTTTCTACTCTTATCGACCACTCAATACTTACAACACACATTCACCCATTCACTCACACATTCATACATCACACCCATACACTGATGGAACAGCCATCAGAGGCAATTTGGGGATCTCGCCAAAGGACTGAAGGAGCCGGGGGTCGAACCACCGACCTTCTGATTAGGAGACGACCTGTTCCACCTCCTGAGACACAGCCGCCCAACATGTGTGACTGTTTGTAAGGAACTGGTTCAAAAATTTGAACATTTTTAACAAATTCCTGTTCGCACTTAAATCAGTGCCGAACATCGTGTGCAGACGCGACCACTCTTTCATGCCATCAACCATCACTCTACTGATTGACCATTTTCTCCACAATCCCCTCAAGGCCCAGATTCATTTTCAGATGTGTAATTACAGACAGCTCCTGAGGAGCCAGAGTGTGTGTGTGCATGTGTGTGTGTGTGTGTGGTTTCAGAGGCGTCATCAGGGGTCCATAGTTAATCAGCAGTCGACCAGAGGTCTCAAGGATCAGCCCATCGATTCCCTCCCAGGAAAATCAATGAAATCAAAGGCATTACTTAAACTGAACTCAGATCAGAAAGTGGAGGACGTGTAACAGGGAATAGACCAACAGGACAGAGAAGAGGATGTGATACAAGATGGGAGGCTGTTAGAGAGAGGACATAGCAAGGAACTTATAAAGTATAGGATGAAGCCAAGTGTGATATTAAATACAAGTGGCTGTCTGATCACATTAAATGAGGTTGAGTTAGGTGATATGACGCTGTAAAGACAGGTGGAAAAACCTAAATAGAAGAGCGAAGAAATATAACAAATGCAGAATCTTCCATACAAGGTATTAGGAGTCACTGAACTGTACTGCATCTATGGGAGATATGGGCAGACATGTTACACACCACTCTCATCATCAAAACACAAAACAACCTATCCGTTTACTGCGGGATGATAGAAAACTGTGTTTCATGATTTAAACTAAGGTATCTAGCTCTGTAATATCTAATCATCACAGCAGTATTGGCTTTATTTGAAGACTTTTGTAAACTTTTGGAAAATTGAAATTTCAGGAATTGAATACACTGGATTATCCATAAACAATTTAGTTTATCGTGATAAATATCAATGTCAAGCATTAAAACTGCATATAAAGAGGATTTTTTTTTTCCATATTCATCAACTCAAATGATTCTTTTAATTTACTGTGTTCTGATGAAAACACGCATATGCAAAAGCACACACTCACTCTGCCGCATGCACACAAGCACACACATGCACACACGCACACAGCTGTGAGGATCAATGTGGCTGAGAAAGTTAGGGAAGCTCTCACAGCGTCTGACCTTGATTAGACATAATGAGACTTAACCACAAGTCCTCTAATCTGATGAAATGACTTACAGATTCACCTTGTGATGAATACTAAACACAAGCATTGACTCTCTGGCTTTATACAAACACTTATGCTGGTGCACACACTCAAGAGCATTTATAGGCATGTGCACGTACACACATGTCCTTGGCCCATCCCAATCAGACTTATTACTTTGAGAAACTTCAAAGGGCTCTTTGATCACCTCTTCAAAAATCATCTTAATACAAATTGCAAATAGGAGCTGGCCTGTAGTCGCAGCCATATGGAAAGTTGTGTGATTACACAGGAGTGGGAAGACTGACCTCCAGGAGTTCGGTTCTGTTCCGAGACTGATCTTTGGAGGAAACACTGATTATATGTGTAATTAAAATGTGAGTCCATGTGAAATAAGTCTGTGTGTATTCTCCTCCTGCCTTAGGAGCTGGCCAGTCTCAACTCAACTTGTAGTGTTTACAAAGCACCATATAACTCTGCTGATTCCTAATGAGAGCTCCTCAGATCTCTGCCAGCCCTTCCAATCACAGCTAAACCCCGTTCAAACCATCTCCAGCAATCACACACTCCGTCACACACCGTCTCTGGGGCAGGTGCAGGTTTGAAAATGAAATGTAAACTAAGTCTGAATGCTCATCAGACGCAACAATGACCCAGAAAACGTACGGTGGTCTGAGTGAGAAGGTTGTTTTTTTGTTACGCAATGCTATCATTGGTATGAACATGGCCTTCATAAAACCAGGTACTTCTGGCAGCTTGGATATGGATTACCATCTGGTATGTTACATTCAGCAATTTTAATAATATTCAAGATGTAATCTCTCCCAAAATCATCTTTCATGAAACTCACCAAAATCCTAAATCCATCAGGATTCAAACCTCCTCTACTCTTCTCTCCCAAACCCATATTTGAGCTATACATATGCATATACATTTTATAAAATTTGATATCTCCAGTCTTCTCTTCTCTTCTCTACAGTCTCTTGACTTTTTCAAAGCCTTCAGACCACGCTCTCTTTGAGCTGCTCTGGTATCTCATGTAAACCCTTCCTTACTGTGAACCTGAAACTTTACAAAAACTAAAGTGAAAAAGTTCAGAAACTTGCAAATCAGGAAGCTTCTAAAAAGCCTCTTGCGCCATTCATTTTTTATGAATACAGTATTACACCTTAGTTATTACTCATGTGTTTGGTGCTTTTTACTGATCATTTAATTAGATCTTTTTTTCTTTTTTCTGTACCAACTTACCCAAACACTGTACAGTATTAAAACTGCCCTGATTCTGAACTTATTTCATTCCATCTGATGAAACTCATTTATCTAAAGACACAAACTGTCAAAGCAGAGCGGCTCATCACAGCGTGACTTCTCTCCCACATTGACTCATCATGATTTATCTCTTGCGTTTCTGATCCTCTCTTCCCACCATAAAAACACAGACGTGCTGTACAAACCCCTGCACCTCACCTCACACTCACTGCACCTCTCTGCTGTCCAATCCCCGACCTGTAAACACTGGGTTACCTCTGACTTGCTGCTGATTAAAAAAAAAATCCACTAATCACAGTGGGCAATGTTCCATTTTTCATGATTGCAACAGCAAGTGACCTCACCTCCTGCCAACCTTGTAAACAAGAGTGCAACAGTTAAGGCATGTTTGCAGGCTTTGTTCCATTTTTCATCATTACACCAGCACATGCTGACATGTGCTTTTAAAAAAAAAAAAAAAGGAAGCTGATGTTTTTCAGTATTTCAGTGATGGATAAAAAGGTCTCCTGGCTGATCATGACTCACATGCATTATTTCATCACATGCACAGTAGCTCTTTTTCCAAAAGTGCCTCAAATAAATCATTCACTTCAGTTTATATGATTAACAAGACAGTGAAACGATTCAAAAACTATGTACAAGGTTTGTTTTTTTCTGTCTATCCAACGAGAAATATCCAAGACACACAAACAGACATTGGTCATTGTAGTTTTTCACTGTAGTTTTCGCTATCATGCCTGCATTGTCCTACAGTCAGTATGTGCAGCAAACACTTGCTAGTTCTATAGGATGGGCAACAGCAATGCAACCTAACTGGTATAAACTGACAAAAAAAACTTTCTATCAGTGATTAAAAAGTAATGTGTGACCCTACACACATCACATGAATGCTTTTCTAATTTCTAATTCTCACTTTTCGAAGCACGCCAGATATCTTGTCCACTCTTCCATCCTCTGTGACCTTGATCATACACTGTATGGGCATCCTGCGTCTGATGCCAAAAAAAACGACTGAAAGCCATTTTCTGAGGCAGTGTGCAAGAAAGAGAAGGTTGGCACAGCAGCTGGAACACAGCAAAATGAGACTGAGCAACCTTGGGACTGCTTTATGCCTAAGAAAAGGGTGTGTGTGTGTGTGTGTGTGTGTGTGTGTGTGTAGGTCAAACAACACAAAACAAATGACATTAGTAAAGACAAAAACAATGACGTCATGCTGGTATATATATTTCATTAAAAACATGCCCGAGTGTGCACTACTGAGCTACACACATAAATGGCTGTTAACATATTTGAAACCATGTCAAATGTGTGTGTGTGTGTGTGTCTCTGTGTGTGAGTGTGTGTACAACCTCCCCTCCATCTCTGTATTTTTGCCTTTCCGGCGCTGTTTGTCTACATGTGTGGCAGTGTTTGTCTGTGTGTGTGTCTGGACAGGTACTTACTGCAGATTGCATCAGCCTCGTCTGAACCGTCTGCACACTCCGGCTCTCCATCACAGCGCCACCTAGCAGGAACACACTGTCCGTTCTTACAGGCGAAGTCTGTGGTCGCACACGTCTTCTTTGCTATGGAGACAGAGAAAACATCCAATGTTAAGTCTCAAAGAAAGTGAAAGCAGTGACAGAGCGTTACAGTAGATATGAAGTAGGTATTTAATAGAAAAAAAAAATCCTCCAATCCAGGAAGTGATGGCTGAATAAAAAAAATAAATATAAAATTAAACTAACTGACTAGTGATCTCTGGGTACAGAGTGCAAAAACATTACTGCAATAAGCACTAGGGAGATTTGTCAGAAATGTGATAATCCACTTAACAAAAGCAACAAGACTAGGCAATTAAAATTTAACTTAAGTCAAGAGTAATTCCCAAGCACCAACTTCAAACCAATTATCCAGTCCAATTTTAATTTAACCTTCAGCACGCAATGTTTTGATGTGGCTGGTTGCAGGCTGGAGTCTTGGTGGTGAGTTCAAGTGCAAGTTGTAATAGGAGACACAAGGAGACGTTTGATTAGACAGCCTTTGTTGGAGCCTGTTCTTTGAGGTTGACTAAGTGGATCAGGGCTGTAAAGTAGGTGAGATCATAGGAGGGAGAGTTGCACCACCTGTGTGCGTGCAACAACTTTTTTTCGCTCGACAAAGATCCAGCATAGAAGAAAAAGTCTCCAGTTGCATAATTTCAGATTTATAGGTTGGCAGATGTACTTATGAAATGTGACTCATTAAGATTTACAGTACTGTCTGAGGAATGAATCTGGTAAAAGACTCCACTTACAGGTAGATGCTGCCTTGGAGGAGAAACAGTGTTTACAATCTGAGCTGTTTGCTTTAAAGCAGATTGACTGAGCAGAGCACTGACAGCCTCTTTTTGTGTGAGGGCGTGTTGGATATATGTCGCCGTGTATCAACTGTGTCACATGTGAACAGCGTAGTGCTCGCCAGGTTGCCTGCCTGACCTGCCTCAGAAGCTCTGCTCCATTTTAACTAACCCATGATCCACCTTCGGAGTCCAGCACGATCTTCGCAGAACTGGCTCTGGCTCTGCGTATTGCTGTTTCCCGATAGCCCACGGACTCCAAAGGTTTTGTGCAGTCACTTTCTCCAAGCAAGGGGAAAATTGAAGCACTTGAGTCTGTCACGGAGAGAGGCAAAAAAATCCCTCTCCTTGACAGCGAGAGCCACTGAACAAGAGAAAGCACTCGCCTGGCATGTTAGCAATGCCTTGCCTCGCCATGATGAAATATACAGAGAGGGCAGCTGACAAATGGCAAGGAAGTGTGTGTATGTGTGTGTGTGTGTGTATTTGAACAACCGTGTGTGTGTGTTTGGTGGTAATTTTCTTCTGACGAGCAGTGAAAGTAACTGCGACTGCTGCTGTTACATTTCCTTCACATGAGCCTTGTGTTAAAGCACCTCACCGGCCCATAGTTCAAGCCAGCTGGGAATGTAGGTCGGCAGAGTGCTACGCTAAAGCACTGGACGGATGACCGTGAAAATGAATCACACATGATTTGCTAGAGCTCACTATTCTCCAGTCACCTGTGATTACATCACTTACTGCCAGTGGTGCTTTAATTACAGTGGGAGATGGATTTCTAATATAGAAGAATAATAAATAAATATGAAACCAAGGAAGAGTCCAGGCAGCCTCTGTCAGTTTATATTGTGTCACATGTCACTGCTGTGGAGCACAGAGCTGATGTGTGGACTGTCATTCACAGTTTTATGAAACCAGTAACAAAAACACACGCAATTAACACTTGAAGGAATAGTTTGACTTTTTTTGCGGAAATATGCTGACTTGCTCTCTTGCTGAGATTTAGATGAGAAGTTAGAAATATGAGGCTGAGGAACAGCAGCAAGTTAGCTTAGCTTTGTATAAAGACTGGAAAGGGAGGTTAACAGCTGACCTGTGTCTATCCAAGGGTAAAACAATCCACCTACCTACACTTCTAAAGCTGACTGCCTACCATACTATATCTTGTTTGTTTAATCCATACAACAAAAAAAGTGTAAAAAAGTGTTGTAGTTTTATGGGGATTATGTGGACTACTGGACTACTGATCTAACTCTCTGCAAGAAAGCAAATAATCATATTCCCCACTAACTCAAACAATTCCTTTAACTTTTAAATATTTTTTTAATTTTAAATACAATTTGGTGGGGAATTATAATCTTACTTTCACACACATCTTAATACAAAATCAATCCCCTATGATTAATCTCATTACTACAAAAGGAACTGTTCCAGCCCTGGAATAAGACTGTGTATTCTACACAGTGCTATTCTGTTTAGCAAGGGAAAAGCTAGCCATCATATTAGCTTGTTGTTTATGTGTGTAGCCTTGGACGTTCTATGGTGTGTGGTACAAGGCAGTGTAATGACTGATGGCACAAGTGGGAGCCATAATAATGAAGTACATACTAGAAGAACTGACAGCATCTCAGCTGTGAGCAGCAATACTCTCTTAATGTATATCTAAATTAATCTGTATGGTTGATAATGTAAGGCAGAGCGAAGAAAAGATAGAGACAACCACACATTTACGCACTCACCGGTGCAGAGTATTGATTCTGAGTAGAGGGGAAAAGAAAAAGGGAGTCTTAAAGACATGAGTGAGATGGTATTGAAGAAGGTGTAGGCCTAGAATAAATGAAAAGTGTGTCCCTGGGGATTACAAGGTAGTCAGAGCCAGAGACAAAGGTAAATAGAAAGAGGGGACGGAACAGGGAACAGGGGTACAGAAACGAAAGTCAAGTGGGAAAGAGGTTGTCGAGGTGGGGTCCGGTGTAATGACATCAGTCTTCACAAAGGGCCAAATAAATCCCCTTTCCTCCTACCAGCATGTTAGCATAAATCTCATCTCTTCCTGTCCAACCTCCCTGTTTTTTTCCTCCATCTTTCCCTCCATCTCTGCCTGCGGCCTGATAACAGAGGCAGCTGTAGCCACACACAGTGTATCCAGTAGTAGGGCAGTAAAATTCACAATACCACTGTAGATCACAACAGATATCCTGCACCTTCATATCAAATGTTCAATCACAGACCATCTTCACTCAAAAGAATTAATTAAAATATTACAATTAACCACAGCCTCCTTTTATTCTGGGAGCCAAAGGCATTGATTACCTTTTCTACTGTGACTATAAAAACATTCTTTTTATTAAACTCAGGATAGATGATATTTAAAAAACACACACACACACAACAATTTCCCACTTTAACGACTTACAGCAACTAAAGGACAGGTTTAACACATGATGATGATGATAAGAGTACATTTTATTCATCTGCAGAGAAAAAGACATCTCATAAGTTGAATATGATGACTTTCATTTAAAAATGCCCCTCCCCACTATAAGTAAAAGTGTTAGTATTTCAATAAAGCATATTATGGAAAGCTGTTATCATCCATCTTGAAAACTGAGAGTTACATTTATGAGAGTGCAGTCATTTGGGTTTTTGAATACTGAATGAATAATGACTAGTTTTAAGCAAAGGAAATTTTCCCTCACATAGATATACGGTACAACATTTTAATAATGATGAAATAAGCATTACAGTGAAACTTATATTTCTGCTGCAACAGGCACAGGATCTGGCACCAGGAATGAAAAGAGCTATATTCATAAAAATGCTACAGAGAGAAAGAGAAGAGCAACAATATGGGTAAATTTCAAAAGCAGATCTCCTCTAAATGGTGGATGAATATATAGAGAGATCATATATTGACATTTATAAACTAAATAAAATGTGAAAATAAAATCTGCACACACAAGAAAGATTTTCTGATTCCCTCTCTCTCTCTGTCTCTCTCTCTCTCAAGAGTTGCTGATGCACACAAACAGCCGCTCCCATTTACATTCTGATGCAGCAGGTCCTGTCATATGTGAGTGTCATCCATATGGAACAGCCTAAATCTGCCTTATGAGGTGTGAGAGTGATTGTGGAGGAGACAAACACTAGGCAACCAGACGCGCATGCTGTGCGCACACACACACACACACACACACACACACACACACACACACACACACACACACACACACACACCTTTACCTTCCCACAACCCATCCTTCTGGAGTTGAAGCACATTATTTTATTTTTGTCCTCCATCCCCAGAAAGTGATTAATATTCATGTGAAGTAGCAGAAAGACCTGAAGAGCTCGAGCTTCCTCACAAGCAGATTCAACTTTTTAACACTTTTCCATTGGACCGTCAGATTCTCATATTTTATCCATCACTCCACTTCACTTGCGCCTTAGCCAAGGATTTCTTAGCTTCATGATTCACAGGGTGCAGTACTGTTCTTTGAGCAACACATGTACAATGGTATTTATTTGTACTAAGATTTATTTTGATCATTTGCTCTACTCATTCACTCTCTTTACTCCAGTGGTTCTCAACCTGTGGGCCATTAAGGTATTGCAAGTGGCCAATAGATCATTTGCAAATGGTACAATTTTGGTGAAAAACTGTTATCATTAAAACACACACACACACACACACACACACACACACACACACACACACATATAGTGTAGTTTTTTTTTTTTTCTCCAATTGAGGCCTATCACTGTGACGAGCTAATGATAGGAACTTGTGTGTTGTGTCGTATATGTGTTTGATATCTCAGTTTGATTGTGCGTGAAAAGATTACATCCATTGCAAAAACTGGAGTATCAATAGCTGGTTAGCAAAAAGAAGAATTAAAAGGAAAAAGTCAAGAGACAGATGGTGAATCGACAAACGATCTCTCACCCGTCAAACAAAAAAAGAAAAATTGAGACTCTCCTGCCTTCTGATCAGTCCTGAATCCTGAATGTTTGATCGTTATCATTTAAATAAAAAGTGCCCTGAGGGCGCATTATTTGGCCCCCATATTGTTACGGGGTCGGATGTGGGCCACCAACATTTTTGAGATTTTCAAGTGGGCTATGAGTTGGAAAAGGTTGGGAACCACTGCTTTACTCATTTATTCTTATGGGAAAAAATATTAATTAATTAACATCAGTGGACGTGTCACACTCAACACTTTAACCGACTGTAAAATTTGCATGATC